AGCATTGTCCACAATAGCCAAACTATGGAAAGAGCCAAGATGTCCATCGACAGATGAATGGATAAAGAAGATGTGGTATATATATATATATAATTATGCAGCCATCAAAAAAACCCCGAAATCTTGCCATTTGCAATGACGTGGATGGAACTAGAGGGTATTATGCTAAGTGAAATAAGTCAATCAATCAGAGAAAGACAATTATCATATGATCTCACTGATATGAGGAATTCGAGAAACAAGACAGAGGATCATCGGGGAAGGGAGGGAAAAATGAAACAAGACGAAACCAGAGAGGGAGACAAACCATAAGAGACTCTTTCTCAGGAAACAAACTGAGGGTTGCTGGAGTGGAGGGGTTGGGAGGGATGGGGTGGCTGGGTGAGGGACATTGGGGAGGGTATGTGCTATGGTGAGCGCTGTGAATTGTGTAAGACTGATGAATCACAGACCTGTACCCCTGAAACAAATAATGCATTATATGCTGATAAAAAAAAAAAAAGAATCTGCAATGACAAAAATTTATTGATGAATGAGACCTTAGAGATTACGGACTTCCATTCTCCCTTACTTTATAGATGAGGCAGCTGACCCACAGGGGGCAGTGACTCATCCAGGGTCACACAGCGGCTGAGCAGCAGAGACTGGAGGAGACTCCCATCCTGTCCCAGGCTCCTCCTCTGCCTCAGGCCTGTCCTGTGACCCCCTGTGCCTTTGCTTGTACATATTGAGCTCCAGGGCCTTCCACACAGTCATGGCCACTATCAAGACATTTCACCTTCTAGACCCATCTCTTGAAAAGTCATGCCACTGGGAAGCAACTGTGCACCCACAAAAGGTGAGGTAAATCCCACTGACACTCAGTCCGTGGGTTGAGTGCTCGGGTCTCTGCTGCTCTAACCAATGGCTTTCAGGCCACACATTGGGAAGAGGCCTGTAGTGTTCAACTTGTGTGAGAACTGGGATGCATGTGACTTAGGTCTGAAGGAATAAGCCCATTATTCTAAAAATAATGCTACTGACAGCTCTGATGTGTTGAGGGCTTCCTATGTACATGAGGTTCTCAACATACTTTACGTTTGATCTCATTAAATCCTCACTACAATACTTGGAAGTAGCTAGTTTTATTAATTGTGCTTTATCAATGGAGAAAATGAACTTCAGAGGCATTTTTTTTAAATTTCCCAAAATTACATAGCTGGGTTAGTGGTGAAACCGTAAAACTGGAACTCCAACCCCCATCAACCTGCTACCTCATTGTGTGTACGTAACTGCTCTGATGTCTCGGAGGTCCAGCCCAGGAGGGGAGACACAGGGCTATGGCCCAGCCAGCAATAGCACATGATCTTGAGTAGTATCTGGGCATCCCCATAACCCTCACCCTGCTGTAATTTCCTCAGCAACAGAGTGAAGATAATCAGCCTCCTGCCTGCCCTGTGCCTGACAGCCAGGGAGCTGTTCAGAATAGTAATGAGCCCACGTCCTGGAAACCCCCAGTGCTCCAGGAAGGAGTGGACATTAGGGTGCCCATAAGTCAGCTTCTGGCTGGCAGAAAAGATCCAGCTCCCCAAGTCAGGCTCTTAGCGTTTGGTTGTCATAGGCCCATTGAGGATATGATTTTTAAAAACTCTGGAATCCTTTTCCCAGAAAAATGCACAGATGTAGATACCTATATTTTTGTATGACCAGGAGTCAGGGGACGATGTATATCCTAGAAGCCCATCCCAGGACTTCAGATGAAGAATATCTGCCCTACATAATAATCAGACCTCTTAGTCTTTGTGTTTGCAATCTGTTAGCCAGTGATCAAGCTTATCAAGGTGAAGGTATCCTCAGCATTTTGCCAGGTGAGATCTGGGGTGGTGTGGGCAATAGGGGTATAAGACACAGTTCCTGCCTTTCAGGACTCAAGACCTACTTTTGAATGGAAGACAAACTTGAGAAACACTAGCTATAAAGGTGTAGATTAAGGGCTAAATAACATAACCAAGCTCTCAGCCCTCTGGATGGTCACAGCAGAATGCCTTGACTGAGGAATGTGGACATCAGCAAGGCTTCCTGTAAGAATGGGACCAGGGCTTTAAATAAGGTGATCATATAATTTATCATCAAAACTGGGACATTTACGAGTGAAAGAGAAAGCTATTATCAGTTATTCCAGAACAAGAGATGTAGACTGGAACTGTCCCAAGCCAACTGAGACTGATGGTCATGAAAGCCTTAAAGGAAGGATAAATTCAAACAAAGAGTGAATTGGGCTTTGGAGGGTATGGGAAGAGATATAAATGATATCCAGCAAGAGACTAGAGTCAGGATACAAGCAAGGACTTGTGGGCATCATGCTTGGCTGTTAGGGAGTTAGGAAGAGAAGAGCTAGGTTCTCACCATGGCTCCACCAAGTTCTAGCTTGAAGATCTTGGACTAACTGCTCAACTTTTCTGGCTTTGATTTCCTCATCTCCTAAATGTATGTAATTGTCTTAGCACTGCCTGCCTCATTGGCTTGTCACAAGGCTCTAAATAAATAAATAAATAAATAAATAAATAAATAAATAAATAAATAAATAAATAAATAGAAAAAAGAAAGAAGAATGTATAAGCTTCTTTGAACATGGGGGCAACTGAGTAAGATAATTAAGGCCAAGTTATTCTTCCCATTGTGCAGGTGGAAAAGTGGGAGCTCAGAGGGGTCCTGAGACTTGCCCTGGCCAGAATAAACAGAATGTGGTCCACCGGGACCTAGTCCACAGGCCCTGATTTCCTGCCCCCAGTGGGCACTCAGGAGGAGGGGCCACAAGGATGAGATCCACCTGAAGGCAGCCACAACGAGGTTACAGAAGCCCTGGGTCCAGAGCATCTCTGCTGTCTCCCCCAGGAATAGGGGGCAAAGAAATCTGCAGTGTTGATGCCTCAAACAGTGGAAACATGACCTGGCACTCCTCTGGCACCGGGCAGGAAAGAAAAGTTGTCCTTTAGCATCTCATTGGCGGTAGACTCTGAGCTGGCGCCCAATACCACTTGCAGGAAACCACGGCTAATTCTCTGTTTTTCACAGACGAAGCTGGCAGGATGGCGGCGGGAGTTTCAGCAAGCAAGAACTCAGTCTGACCCGTCTCCCTCAGATGGGTGATAGGGGTGATGAGGGCCAAGAATCTCAGCCCTGATGGATAGGACAGCAGTTTCCTGATTTGCCCAAAGTGGACGTTTCTGAGAAGCTGCTGCTTCTGACTCTAAGTTCTGACTGTCCACATAAATGGTGTGGGGCTGAGCCATTCGGTTGACCTCTCCTTGCTCTGCCATCGTGGAAGGGTGATTCTAGGACATCTCCTTTCCCATCCTTTGATCTGTTTCAGTGTGTATAAGTCTTAGCTTCTCCAACTAGATGGTAAGAGCCTCTAGCTGCCCCAGACCTCTCATGACTTACTGTAAATCCTGAACCCAAGTGCCATAAGCTCCGAGTCTCAATAATCCTATCTGTAAAATGGACAAAATAATGGCCGCTCTCGCTCCTTACTAGGTTTCTGTGAACGTCAAATATACATCTTCCCGTGAAAATACGTGACAGTGCAAGAGTCCCTCAGGTAGGGGGCCTAGAATTCCACTAATGATGATTTTTTTGGAAACCGAGAAAGGCTTGTAAAAATGACAGTGACAAGACCTCCCTTTGTGCTGAGAGAGTTCCCTGCTCTGAGATAACAGCTTAGCAGACTCAAGGCGTCAACATTAAAGTCATCTTATTTGCCCATACCTGACCCACCCTATGACCCCACATAGTAGCAACCATCCTTGTCATCCTCATCATTCAAATAATGTACACTTTATATGGAGGACTCGTGTCCAGGGAATACGCGAAGCACTTCCATTCTTTGAGGAGGAAACCAAGAAACAGTGGGGCTCAGTGACCTGCTCATGGCCACGTCATTAGGCATGACCAGAGCATAGCCAGGGAAATGCCCACCAGAAACAGCGGGTGGCGGTGGTAGACACAGAGACCATACTGCTGTGCACATTTCAGAGCCTAGCAAGACAACATTGTCCCCTGTTTGAGAGGCCACGTGGCATCATCAGTGAAGATACTGGAATATAGCAGAAGCCCTGGATTTTAGGCGTGCCTTTAACCCTGAGAAGTCTTAAGTCTAGAGCAAATCAGTTTATCTTCCAGAGGTTTGGTTTCTCCCGCGTAAGGGAAGGTCATCTCTAAATGACATACCTCAGGAGTTCCTGTATATGGAGATGAACAGGCATGAAAGTGCTTCGTAAACATGAAATACTTGGCAAATGGTGGTAGTTATTATCGCCACTATTACTAACAATAAATAACAGCTGGCCTTCATTGAATACTCACCATGGGGCCAGCATCGATCATAAAATATCTCATTTAATCCTTAAAACAACCTTAAGACATAATTAACTCTTAATTGGTCCCATTAAACAAATGAGGAAACTGAGTCATAGAAATATTACACAGTTTATACTAACATGCCATACTGATAATTGGTATGATACGTGAGACCAGGGCCAAAGCACAGATGCCCATTTGGATCGTTAATGACACCCCTCCTTCTGTTTGGGAAAATCAGTCATCTGCACACATGTCTCAGTCTGCTTTCCCAAATGAGTTACATAAACCAGTACTTGGAACCGAATGAATGGGAAAGCCAGAGATGGGCAAGAGATGACCAAGGTGAGAAAGCAAACTTGCTGACATTTTAATGGCTCCCTTCCTCTTAGTTTTCCCAGGAGGATCTGTGTTTTGTTTTCTCTCTGAAAGGCAAAGCCAGCCTAGACTTTTCCAGAGTGAGGATTCTTCCTTATTTCATCTGAGAGAGTGAAGAGCTTGTTGTATAATTTGTTCAATGCTCTGTGCCTGTCATGGCCTCCCCACTGAGACTCCACACCAGAAGGTGATGAGAGGGTCATCCCCAGAGCTGTCAGTCTCCCTCCTTCCCTCCATCCCTCCCTCTCTGTCTCTCTCTCTTTCTGCTCCCCTACCCTTCTCTCAAATACATACACACCCCAACTATTCTTATACCTTCTGAGGGCACAGGAGCTGGTCAGTTGGAAAAAGATAAAACCCTGTATGTCTTCCTTTTGAGCTATTTGAAGGGGGAAATAAACAGTGCGGGGTCATAGGGCCGGGTTCCTGTTGGTGACAGGTAGACACTCATCTCATTGGCCTTAGGTCAGACTGATCTGAGAACACATGGTGGTGGGTCACCATTAGAGAATGTGCTTTCTTGTACCTGAGTAGATGACATACAGCAAGACTCATCCTTCACCGGAGGGTGGACCTGAGTAAGATTTATTGGTCATCTCCAGAGTGGCAGACTTGGCCTTAAAGCTCTTAAATCCCACATGCTGACCACTTGACCTTCTATATGATCTTGAAGATGTGAGGCCACGAAAGTTTGATCTCACTCATTTTTGGAAAAGAAAGCCCATGCGGCATATTTGGGGTTGAATGCAAATTTTGTTTTAACCAGCTGAGACTTGTTTAAAGCCCCGCATGCTCTGGTCTTAACATGAAGACAGGGCTGGAATTTTGGGAACTGGAGGCTTAGGTGAATCATCCAAGGTCACTCTGTTTCCCAGGGTCAAATTCAAGTCTCCCGGTTCTAGGTCTTTGGATTCCCAAGTTTTTATTCCCCAGCCTCACACGGGAACTAAGAAACCATATTCAAGCCTAGCCTGAGGCATCGTAAGGCTGGCTTCTTCTCCTGACTCACCAGGGATGGCACACTGGTCCCTTTCCTTCACAGACCTCCTTCTGTTTCTCCACAAAAGGCGTGTGTCTGCAGGGCGGTGCCGCCCATGGTGTGGTCATGATGGGGGTGTTCTATTAGGGATGGTGCAGAGATTTCTTCTCAGAATCTACTTTGATCCATGGTTACTGTTTGCTTAAGGCAACAGATGAACAAGGTTTTCAGGATGAATCTCAGTTTGGTTGGAAAGAGAACTGTGCTCTGATGGCGCTGTCTGCTGTGGGCAAGGGAGTAGCGAGGTTTTTTGGTAGCCATATTATTCCAAGACCTCATCCCATGTAAACTTCTCAGGTTGTGGACTTTCCCTTCAACAGAAAAAGCAAACAAGTGGGATTGGGACTTCTGAGTTCATGGTCACTACTTGGTTTCCTTTCCAGGTGCGGTTTGAAGGCTTGACAGGAAACGTGCAGTTTAATGAGAAGGGACGCCGGACCAACTACACTCTCCATGTGATTGAAATGAAGCATGATGGCATCCGAAAGGTAAAGGCCACCTTTGCTTCCATTTCACAGGAAGGAGAGGGCTGGGCGAAGCAGAGGGCCAGAGTGGAGGGCCTTGTGAGCCCATCTTTCCTGGACTGGATCTGCTTAAAGAGACTCAGGCAACAAGGATTCTAGACTCAGCTCTGCCACTAACCAGCTGGGACTTTGGGCAAGTCAGTTCCTTTCTCTGAGAATTAATTCACCTGTCTGCAAAATGGAGATAAAAATCTCTACCTTTGTCCAGGGTACTAGTGAAGATCCAAAGGGTGGGAAATACTTTGAAAATATAAAGTTATAGGTGTATATGAAATGCTACTGCTTTCCCTGAGGGATTCTGAAGAACTTGAGAATGATGGTTATTGATGAAGTTAAACCATTTTCTCCTGATCCACACTTGATCACATCTACTCCATTTCCCCATGAAAGGAGTTAAAAATATGTGTGTGCGTTTATGTATTAATATATAGTATATATGCATATTAATTTTTAGAATACATTCAAATCCTTGGAAAAGCATTCACAATTTTACCAGACCCTGTGTTCTCTGGCCTTTGCCAACTTCTCCACCCTTGACCTTGGACACTCACTCTCTTCCTCTCATGACTCCAGTCATTCTGATCGACTTTCATTTCCTTGAGTATATCTTGTTCTTCCTCACCTTGGAGGTTTCACACCTGTTCCCTCTACCTGGCACTCTCTCTACCCCATTCCCCTCTTTTTCTAGGCCAACTCCTCCTCAGCCTTGAGCACTTAGAGTAAACGTCACTCCCTAGGGAAGACTTCCCTGGCCCCCTTGCCTCATGGCAGCCTCTATTTTTCTGTCCATGGCCTCTATCACATTCTTTATTCTTTGTGGTGGCAAGATGCAGTGGTAAGAGGCATGGCATAGTATGGTAGAACGTTAGCAGAGTGCCATGGACCAGAGTGTTGACTCTGGAATCCTGGAACTCAATCCTGGCACAGACCGCTTATCATTCTGTGATTCTGGACAAGTTATCCAGGTCCTTCATGCCTTAGTTCTCTCATCTGGTATATGGGGATCACCATATATAATGCCAACCTCATAGGCTCATTGAGAGGATCACATGACCTCACATGTGCAAAAGTTCTAAGTGCTGGGCCTGGCACATTGAAAGTTGGGTCTTTATCTCTCCAACTTAATGCTCTCTATGCCTGTGATGTCAAATACAGCTGCTACTAGCTGTGTATGGCTATTTAAATTTAATTTTTAATTAATCAAAATTGAAAAGTCAGTCCCTCAGTTGCACTAGCCATGTGGTAAGTGCTCAAGAAGCCCCATGTGGCTAGCAGCTACCATACTAGACAGCACAGAGGGAGACCATTTCCATCATCGCAGAAAGTTCTACTGGACAGCTCTGCTTATGCTCTCTGCCCCCACCTCCCGCAAACCCAGATCCTTTGCTCTCTTGTCTGGAACCCCACTCTCCATGTCTGTCTTACCACATCCCATTCACCAAGGCTGTATTCATTTCCTGTCGCTGCTGTAACTAATTACCTCAAACAGCGGCTTAAAAAACACAAATTTATCATAGATCACAAGTCATACTGGGGACTCCCTTTTGGCTAAAATCGAGATATTAGCAGGGCTGTGTACCTTCTGGAAAATCTGTTTCTTTGTCTTTTCCAGTTTCTTCTAGCGACCACCCATATTTCTCAGTTCCTGTTACCTTTCCTCATCCTCAAACCGAGCAACATCGTATCTCTCTGACCCTTCTCCCATCCTCACATCTTCTCTCTGACCTCAGCCAAGAAAGGTTCTCTGCTTTTAAGAACCATGTAGTTAGTTTGGGCCCCCCAGATAACCCGGGATAATCTCCCCATCTCAAGGTCTGTAACTTTAACCACATCTGCAGTGTCCTTTCTGCCATGTCAGTTTCTGGGGAAGGGGCATGGACATCGTCAGGGGGGCCACAACCCTGTCTACCACAAGGGCCAGGTTTCATTGGCTCCTCTGTTATCATGCCTTCCACACCCTATAGAAGCCATCTCCTGACCTCTTGAGTTCCCACAGTACATTTGACTCCCCAGGATGTCAGCACAACATCCCCTGTTGCAGGGCTATTTACACATATCCCATTCTCCTTCCTAGACTGTGAACACTTTGAGGGCCCAGAACCCATTTCCCACCTTCTACTGGCACACATCAGGACTCAGCTACCATAGGCTACCTGTGCTAACTTTCAGCAGGTGCCAACCAAGGGGTCCCTATCTGGCTATGACCATAACTATTAGGCGCCTAACCACTTTCCAGCATACCTTTGGCATGGTGATGGCACAAGGGCATTGTCCTTGGGGAATAAATTTACTGCAAGTGATGCTCATTCCAGAAATAGTCCAAGTCTGAGTTAATTTCTCTTAGCCCCTGTTCGTCTGACTCCTGCTCTGGAAAAGACATCTGCTAGGTTACTTAGTTCTCATAATCCTCAATTTCCACATCTATAAAATGGAGACATATCATGTATGCACTGGCACCTGATCCTTGTTCAGTGAAAGTTACCTAGGCGAGTGGTTACTGACAGGTATGGCCAATGGCAAGGAGGTAGCATGTGACTAAAGTCTGAACACACTGGGATGACTTATTTATCTTTTTCAAAGCATTCTGTTCTTTGGTGTGATTGTGAAGAATATCAGCCTTCATGATATAGCTCTCCTTTTCTAGATGGATTAACTGAGGTAGGCCAGCGCAATAGGCTGCCTAAGTTCTCACAGTGAGCTATGAATAAATGGGGACCTTAATTTGGGCCCCATGACTCTCCAGGCCACATTCATCTTGCTGTAGCCAGTGTCACAGCTAAATGGCTCAAGTGACACAATTGGAACATTTCCAATGACTGGTGGGGGGAGTGGAGAGCTCAGAGTATTTTGATGCCCTTAGAAGGGACACCAGTTATGTGACCTCCTTCCCAGACCATCTTCCTCTCAAATGCAGAGAAGGGGTGGTGTCACCCCCTACAGTGTACATGAAAACATAAAAGTAGTTCTTTTGTGGAAGGCCTTGGGCAGACAAGCAAGTTGCTCCTATGTAAAAAATTGTTGACCATGGATGGACCTGGGCTCTCCCTCAGAATCCTCAGAATGGCCTATTTCCCTCAGGGAAGAAAAAAATACTATTTCCTGGTGGACAAAATTGGCATGTGTCTACTGTATATGAACAGTTGTGTGTCTGTCAGAATTAGAACAGGGATGTTATCCGGTTCTTTTCCCTCCAGGGTAATGGGGTGGTTGAAAATAAAGCCAGGTTCTTCTCTACACATGAGCAGTAGGCTAGATGTACTGAGGACATAATGGTGATAAGATAGAGACGAAGAGACGGCAGAGGCTTCTGCCCTGGCCCTGTTGTCACCCGGGGGGGTGGCCTTAACTTCTCTGAAGTGAAGAAATGAATGAGAGGTGCTAGGCTATGCAACCCCAAATTCCTCTCTGCCCTGATGCCTTGGATGCCAATGTATGTGACTGCATCTTTGTCAGCCTCACCCCTGCAGTCATATTGTCCATCTCCTGGCTGGACTTCGGCTTCCTCGGAGCAAGAGGGGTTAGGGATCCCCCTCAGCTGCCCAGCTGCCCATTGGTGTGAACTTCCCCAATCACTCCTCCTGGGAACAGGGGTCTCAGCATTTTGTGTTGACCCTAAACCTCATCAGAGACTGTGGGGAGCCCCCTCATCTCCTCAAGACTTGCACTTCATCAAGAATTCTCCTCAGGGGGCGCCTGGGTGGCTCAGTCATTAGGCGTCTGCCTTCGGCTCAGGGCATGGTCCCAGGGTCCTGGGATCGAGCCCCACATCGGGCTCCCT